AAGTTGGCAACAAATTTGCATTGATGATGATCGTCATCAAGTGTCCGGTGATTTATGATAGGCCACTGTACATGTATATGAATTATGTGACATTTTATGAATGCCATATATCATTGTCCCTGCACAGCCTGACCGTTTTTTTACAGATAACACTAATAATTTAGGCGTATTCAATGAAAAAAGTACATGTATAATAAAGTTGGACGCATGGATGTGCGACAATTGGTGTTTAAAGTTTGATTTTTCCAGTTGCCGATCTTGTCCGGGGTACTTTTGTCAGGCCGGTGTATATTAATGGATTTGTGCATTATAAACATAGCTACAAGGGAGGGAAATTGATACATATACTCTAGATATCAAAAGATGCTGAAAAAGTGTTAATGGAAGGGCCTAAGTCGCATATATTATCGAGAAATGTTTTGATTAAAAACGTTATTGTGAGGCATACGACATATTAACTGAACAATTGCATGCAATTTTATCTTCTGATAAACAGACACACACACCGTATACAGCTGATACGTGCGCGAACAAGATCTTTATTTATTTCGGTTACAAAGATGAACTATATTTACTAAGCATGTCAAAATAGTAATAACAAGTATAAAGAAAATTTGAGATAAAATATATATGTTAGAATTTAAACAAGTAGCTGTTAACTAAGTTGAATAATTAATAAACAATATCGATATGTGTATGTCAACCATTAATATTATATAAAAGTACTAATTACAACTGAACATCAGCAAGGAACATCACGCGATCATTAACTTTGTACAATTTTCTTTATACTTTCAATCTGTTCTTTATATCTTTGAATTGCCTTTTAAGACATTTACTAGGTCATCATAGAAGCTGTTAGTTTTTCCAGTTGTATTCGTCTCTCGTCTTACATTGAGAAGAAGATCTTGGGATTCTTTAACAAAATTAGGTGTCTTTACGTTACGTAAGTCTATATTTTTCTTTAGACTTTCAATCTCTTCTTTATATTTTTGTACTGCTTTTAAGACCTTTACTAGATCATCATAGACGCTGTTAGTACTTTCAGTTGTATTCGTTTCTCGTCTTATATTGAGGAGAAGATCTTGGGATTCTTTGACGAAATTAGGTGTCGCTACTTTACGTAGGTCTATGTTTGACATGATAAATAATTGTGAGGAATTGAATTTTTTAGGAAGAGGTTGTCTCTTTAAATAATTCTAAAATATTGTCTCTTTACCTTTATGAAAGTACGTGTTTTGCCACCTGCCGATTTACGCCGTGCATAATTTCCAAATTTTGATGACAAAGAAGTTTCCCACATTTTATCTGCATATCAGATAACAAGGTTCAATAATGACAAAAAAAGGTTCGTATGAGACATTCGCTTGATACAGTAAACTCACGCTATAGTAAACCCCACTATATGATCCGACTTTTTTTAATAAAACCAAAATAAATTCACAGCGTAATTTCATAAAACTTTTAATTAACAATGTTTAATTTTCACACGAAGAAAGACTTCCACATTTACTGTAACTATTGTTATCAAAATTCATTAATTACGCTAAAGAACCCATACCTTTTTCCGACATGCTCATCTACATGTGATAATCTTGTGACACACGCCGTTATTCTACATTTCTATAATAAATCATACAAAAATATACAGTCAATGACAAAAAAACTTTTAGTGATTGACAAATAGAAAGTCGTACATATACAACCAATCCTTTTGTAACTATTCTTAATGCATCTCAGAGATGGAACATCTTCAAAGAAAAGAAAAACAAAATTATTATACTTCTGGCACACAGGTGAACATTCTGTGCCAAAATTAAGTAGACTACAATGTAAAAAAATTAGAGTCAACCGGAACAATTCAGCACAAAGGTGGTAATGAACGTCCTAACAAAATTACTGCGGCTGTATCAAAAAAGGTGGGTCTATTTGTAAAACTTTCTTTTATGTCCCTATGAAAAATTGCTACTAAACTAAGTACCGAGGAGGTAGACATTTCATATCGTACAATTGGAAGACATTTAAAATCAAATGGATATAAAAAAAATCGACCAAATGCTACGCCGAGGTTAACAACAGTTCAAAAAAAGAAACGTATACAATGAGCCGAACGTCATCTTAACGATGAGTGGAAAAACCTTATTTTCCGATGAAACGGCATTCCAACTATTCCAAATACAAATTAATCATTGGTATAAGGGTAAAAGGCCAGTCCGTCCAACAAAAAACCGTTCAAAAATTTTCGCGTGGGGTGGCTTCCGCGCGAAGGGATAAACTGCTTTCAGGGTATTAATGAATGCTGACTTTTACGTCGAAATTCTGCAGCAACATGTTGGGGAAATCAAAAAGATGCTTGGGAGAAGTGGCGTTTCCAGCAAGATAACGATCCTAAGCATACAAGCGGTAAAACTAAGAAGTTTCTTGCGGAAAATGTATCCGAAGTTATCAATTGGCCGTCATCGAGTCTGGATCTAAATCCTATCGAAAGCCTATGGGCAATTGTTAAACGTGAAGTAGAAAAACGAATGCCGCAAAATTTAAACGAATTGGAGCAATTTATAATGGAGGAATGGAATTATTGCCAAATGATACATGAAAAAATTTAATAAATTCAATGCCACGTCGTTGTTAATTAATTATTGAGAATAAAGGTGAAAGAATCGCGTATTAAATTTGTAAGAATAAAATCTACTGCTTTCGAGCTTTCAAACAATATCTTGATCACGTTTTAATGCGATCTGCGTGAAATTCTAACAGGACGTTCTAAATTAAGTTTTTTTGTCACTGACTGCATCTACATAACAGAACTTTTTGCACCTAAAACAAACAATATCCAATTTAGTATATTAATTTGCCCATTTAGAACAATTACGAAAAACTTTATTTCCTTTTAGCAATAGCTAATTAACATACTGTTACGCCTATCTGTTCTATTGATTTTCAAGTGGGAAAATGCGTATGGTCTGAAGTAGAGCTTTCTTAGAGGCAATCAGATCTCTTTTGTGGATATCTAAAGGACTTGTGCCGGTAACTACGGTTACTGTCGATATTAAAGGTGAGTGTATTTGTGTAGTGTGGGTGATTAATTAGAAAGGGATAAAGGGGATTATGCTACTAAAAAGGCGAATTTTGTTTATTATTAGTTCGGCTAGATTTCTTGGATTCACGGGTTACGCTGCTGTACAAGGTCTTTTTACGGTCCAATTATCCTACAAAGGGAAGCAATTACAGCGATTATCAAAGCAAACGCGACTTTCTTCCGGTAAAAGCGTCAAAACCTGAAGTGACAAAAGCAAGAGGTAATTCTTCTTTTAATTACTTTGAATTTTGTTTTATTCTCATTTACTCTTGATTGAGGCTCAAGAACGATCTATTTACATTAGTTACAGGGGGTATCAAAAGTATTGCATGCTTTTATTTTAGCAACAAAAAAAATTTTATTAAGACAACAGTTAATTTTATTTTATATTCGGAATTAGTACTTTAGTATTTTGTATGTCCTCCATTAGCAGTGATCACAGCCTGAATTCTATTTGGCATTGATCGCACCAAGTCACAATATACTTTTTTTGGGATCGCTTCCCAAATATCTTTCACTACCTTTTCAAGTTCACCAACACTTGAAGGCTGAGGATTGTGTTTTTGAATTTCTACTTCAATCGCAGCCCACAAGTTCTCAATTGGGTTGAGATTGGAACTTTGGGCAGGCCATTGGAGTACCTCTATATTTTGAGAATGAAGAAACTCTCATGCAATCTTTGATGTGTGAACCGGTATATTATCTTCCTGAAAAATGAATTTTTTTCTGGTTTGCCAGGAAAATACTTTGAGTGTGGGAACTGCATAAGTGGAAAGTATCTCTTTGTATACATTTCCAGTTACTGACCCTTTAAGTGGAACAATGGATCCTAATTTTAAAAAGGAAGAACATGTCCAAAACATTCTTTGTGGAGAATGTTTTACCATTGATACAATGCAATCTTTATGAAAGTCCTCTTCTAGCTTTCTCCACACTTTTCCCCAACCAGATTTTTGAAACTGAAAATATAGACTCATCTGACCAGACTATCTTTTTCCAATCTTCTAAAGTCCAGTGTCTTCTTTCTATTGCCCAAGCAAGTCATTTGGATTTGTTGATTGAATTAAAGGTTTTTTCCAAGAAATACAAGAATGTAAATTTTTCTTTTGAAGTACTCAATGAATTATTGATATAGATATTTTTTGTTGATTTTAGCAGAATATATATTAGTAATTTCTGCTAGATTTTTTGTCTTGTTTCCTTGTTTTTGAGAATCATAACCTTTAGTCTTTGTCTTTTTTGACTGTCAATCAAGCATGGTCAACCTGATTATTTTTTGGAAGGTTCTTCTGATTCATAAGCTGCAAGATATCTTGTAATTGTCATTCAATAATATCCTATAACTTTTGCAATTTCTGTATATTGTGGTCTAATTTTTTGGCTGTAATAATGCTTTTCTTTTGTGCAGAAGTTAATTCTTTACCAAGACCCATTGCATGAAAAATTGAAAATGATAGAAAATTTTAAATCACATTTTATAATCTGTAAAAGATTAAATCAAAACAATAAACAACAATCCATTTAAGTAATATATAGGCAAATATGGTATAAGAGTCACATGGGCAGTTTCATATTAATAATTTTATTAAATCAGTTAAATTTGACTGTGCAATACTTTTGATACCCCCCTGTAGATGTACACATTTTGGTACATGTTTGGTGTTTTATGTTTTAGAGCAAATGGCGATAAGCTATACTAAAAGCCAGACTAATATCTATTCTATTTTGTAGGGTAGGTGAAACATTATACCGAATGGCCAGACAGTATACTAGATGGCAATAATAATATATATAATGTTCGAAACAATAGGCTGGATGGTCAGAATAATGTAAATTTTGTTAGTTGCTCGGATGATCAATTCGTAATGTATGTTAACTATCTATTACCAAAAGAATCGAAATAATGGTTTATTATATATATATAAAAAAGCAATTGTTGTAAAGGGGCGAATTGATAGTCTGAATTGGGCATTGTTTATTTTATTTGACGCAAAATGTTCTATTTCTACTATGTTTATTGTTATTATTATATATTTATTTATGAATTTTATTGTCATTACTTTTATTTATTACAATTGTAGGACGGAGCAATAACACAGGATGTTCACATGCAGACAAACATGTCGGAAAGTTATGGGTAACAATACATAATACAAAACAACTAAACAATTATTTTTTCATCATTCTGACCATCCAGTATATTGTTTTGAACATCCTGTACATTATTCTGGCCATTTAATATATTCATCGTATAATGTTTCGCCTACCCTACAAAATAAAATAGTTATCAGTGTAGTATTTAGTATAGTCTCCCGCCCATTTGCTCCAAAACATATAACCAAACATGTACCAAAATATGTATAAGGCCGTTCTTGAGCTCATTCAAAGAACAGGTGAAATAAAATAAAGCTCAAAGTAATTAAAGAATTACAGCTTGCTTTTATCCACTTCGGATTTTATCGCTTTACCGGAAGATAGCCGTGTTTTTTTGATAATTGAACCGTGAAGAGACTTTGTTCAGCGTCGTAACTCGTGACGCCAAGAAACCTATCCGTTAACCTCCTAACTAATATTAAATCATCTCCTTTATTAGCAGCATGATTTCTTTATCCCTTTCTAATGATTCCACCACACTACACAAACACACTCACATTTAATACCAACAGAAACCGTAGTTACTGGCACAAGTCCTTTAGCATCAACAAAAGAAACCCGTTTGCTCTCAAGTAAATTCAGTCTAATCATCCTCAGAATGTTCGCCCTATCCAACATTGCAACTCATCAGACCGGATAATCGCAGCAGCATTATATCATCAAAACAATCAGCAATAAAAATATAAGTTACCAACTGATTAATACCATCTTTAGAGCAATGTGCTGCAAGAAACTTACTCGCTAAAACTATAAATTATAAACTTTATTTATTATAAAAATAAATAATAAAATTTCAAAATTTTAATATAAAAAGAAAATTTTAATTTTCACCCTATTTTATTAATAAAATTGAATTTTAATTATATAATTTGTTAATTATTACATAAGTCATATTAGATTAATATTATAAAAATTAAAAATTTTTAATAATAAAAGATATTTTTTATTATATAAATTAATATAATCTTTTAAGAAATAATTAGTATTAAAGTGAATGAATATTTAAATTTTTAAATACTTGAATTAAATTGGATTTATATTTAAATTTAAATATTCAAAAAAATCTTGAATAAAATTAATTCAAATATTAAGTTTTATTAATAATATATTTTGATATTTAATATAATTTAAGATAATTTTTTGAATAATCAATAAATATTTTAAATTAAAGATATAGTGTGGCCAAAAGTAATGTATCAGGAGCTAAATTTATTAATAAAACATATGAAAATCAAAATTCTCTCTCTATATTAAAATTTGTAATTTTAATAAGAAATAATTTTTATTTTTATATCAAAATAAAGTTCATTAGTTATACAAACAAAAATATTAAATCAAATATTAATATTACATAAAATGGTAAAGATATTAATATCTTTATCATACAATAAATAAGAATATACTAATATATATTGCATAAATTTTATATTATTTAAATCAGAAAATTATAAATTTTTTATTAATAATCTTAATATTATATTGTATTACCTTTACTTTTAGTTAAAGTCTGAACTCTTTATATCTTACTTTTTATTAATTTTTCTAAATAATTCATATCTATTTTACTTACTCTTTCTTTAAAGTTATAAATAATTCTTACTTATTTTTGAAATGAAACTATCTTTTATAATCTGCTCTTTCTAAATAATTCCAAACATGCTTAATTGATTAAGATCTGAACTTTGAGTGAATTATAAAAAGAAAACAGTTAAATTTTCTTTTTTTTACTAATATATCAGTCTTAATTAATAAATTAGATAATTATCATTCTGAAAAGTATATAAATTTAGGCTCAATTCATTTAATAATTATAAGAAACTGTTTCTAAGCAGTTCTATATAGCCAATATTATTTATTTTTCTTTCAATTATAATTAAAGATCCAGATTTATTATTAATAAAACAATTTTATATCATAATATTATATTTAATAGTTAAATAAAATAGTTAACAATATATATTTCTTTTGATTAATATCAGACTATTTTTAAGTATTATTTTAAAATAAATAGAAATAAGATTTATCATTTCAAATAATTATTTTAAATTTAGTAATCAAATTTTATCTTTCTTTATATTATTTAAAGTATTTTTTTCAATTTATTTCAGAAATAAAAGATTTTCTTATTCTAATAAGCTGTGAAAATCTAATTTATAAAGATGATAACTAATTATTTTGAAATATATTAGTATAATTAACATTTTATTAATTGATCAAATAAGCTTATCTAATATAATTTACCTATTTTATATTATCTCTTTTAATAATTATTTAAGATTATGCTCTATTAAAACTTTTGACTAATCATTTTGAAATTTAATAATTATTTATTATTCTTTTCAAAATATATTAGTGGCTCAAAAAATTTATATTTGAATATAATTAAGAAATTTTATAATCTCACAAGTAATTTTCTTGCATTTCTATTAACTAATAATTCTATCTTATTAAAAATTAATCAATTTTTAATTTAATAATATTTTTTAAAACTATAAGCAATTATTAAAGTATTAATAGATTATAAAATAAAAATTAATATATTTGAATAATAATTGAGTTCATAATTATTACTTAAAATTTATTTATTTTATTAAATTTTTGTATAATAGATTAATTAATTCAATATTTTTATCTAATAAGTATAATTTAATATATATATTTTTAAAATTTTTTAGATTTTTTCTAAAGAATTATTCTAATTATAAAGTTAGTATAAAAATTTTTATTAATTAAATTTTATTTTTAATTAATGAAATTTTGTATTAATTTTATAATTAGAAAAATTATTTCTTAATAAATTTATAAATTTTAATATAAAAAGAAAATTTTGAGTTTTACTATATTTTATTAATAAATCTGATTTCAAATATATTACTTTTGACTATATTATATTTATTTAATTTAATTTAAAAAATAATTTTTAATTATATAATATTCTAAAGAAAAAAAGAATATTAACAAATATTAATACATTATAATTATATTTAATTTTTTATTTAAAAAATAAAAAATAATACTTAATAATAAAATTATAATATTTTATATTTATTAAAATATTTTATATTTTATAATTTATTTAAAAATATATAAATTAATTTTACTTTTCTAAATAATTAATAAATATTTATATATATAATTAATTTAATACAAATATTTTTTTATTTTTTTAAATTATTAATTCAATAATTTTTATTTATTTTTTATATTATAATATTAATAAGTTATAAATTCTAATTTTTTTATTAGAAAATTCTTTATATTTTAATTACAAAATAATCAAATAATTTCTTTATTTTGCAAATTATATTAATTTTAAAAATTATTTTTAATTTTATAAATCTTATGTAATTTTATAAAATATAAGAATAATTTAATTTTTATTAAAAAAATATATAAATTTAAATCTTACTTTAACTTTATAAAATTAATTTATATTAATAATAAAATTATATATTCTAATTTTTTATAATTTTAATAATAATTAAAATAATTAATAATATTAAGTAATTTTATAAATTTATTAATATTAAATATTATAATATTAAATTTATAAATTTTTAATATTAAATTTATATTGAATTTTATTCTTAACTTCTAAAATTTATAATAAATTATATAACTAAAAAAAATTAATATAAATAATTAAATTAATTAATATATTTTAATTTTTAATTTATATTATATATAATAATATTATTAATTATTTTTATTTTATTATTTAATTTTATTTAAAAAAACTTTTTAATTTTTTAATAATTTATTATTTTTTTATAATATTATTTTTAATATATATAAATTTATAATAATTTATATTAATAAATAATTAATATAAATAATAATAAATAATATATTAATAATATTAATATACTAATTTTATTTATTATTTAAGTATATAATTTTCTTTAGTAATTTTTTTCTACTAATAAAAATATTTTTTAGTAATAAATTTAAGCTAGTATTAGTATCTACTAGTAATAATTCTTCAGAACTTTCTTCTGAAATCTCTTCAACAACTTTTACAAGTAATATTATTTTTTCTTCTATATTTAGAAATAATATTATTATTTCATTATATTCTACTAATATTATTAAAAGAGATGATCTTGTAATTAGTATATTTTATAAATCTATATTATATTCTGATCTTTATATTAACTAAGATAATTATGATCTTTGTAAGATATGACCTGTTGGTTAAGAAATAGTTCTTTTTTTATAATATATTATATTAATATATTATATCAGTCTATTAGAAGTTATAAAATACTATTTGCAAATTTGATAATAATATTTAGCTATTAAATAATGAATTTTTATCAGAAGTTAAGTAAATTTATATATTAATTGTCATTATTTAAAGAAGAATAAAGTTTTGATTTATTTTCAAGTATAAAAAGCTTCCTAACTGTATTTTAAAGACTAATTTTTAGATTTCTTATGATATATTTAGAAAGATTTTTTGTATTTTAGAGATATTATTATTATTGATAAATAAGTTTTTTTTTCATATAACAAATACTAATAATTTATTAAAGTTATATAGATAATAGTTAGTATTATAATATTGATATAATATTAATAGAAAATAAATAAAGTATAATGCAGATTTTTTTTACAGTCTGATAAAGTATGATAGTTATAGTAGCTTATTATATGAATAATAAATCACTTCTT